TATATATGTATTTGTAATTTAGATTTAGAAATTATGAAAATGAAAAAACTCTAACTCCCCTACGAAATTATTACACACTCATATCACAGCTTATACAATACAGCTAAAACACTCTCTTGGCGGCAACGGTTTGTGTCGATTTCGTCGCGCATCGCTTAAGCTCCGCCTTCGAAGGGAAAAGACGGTTTTGGCGTTCAGAAGCGTACTTAGGTAAGGTGTTGAGTCGTGCGTATAATTTCGTTGATTGTATAATTTCGTGGAGCCTATAATTTCGTTGATTTTGTTTGAGTTAAAGGTACTGTTATTATTTTGGTGACTCTTTAGCTGTGAGTAGAATGAGTTTGTGCAGTCAAAAGCTGTTTTAATAAGGGTTATACCTGCAAGAAAACATTCTTTAGTTTTCCCAAGGACCCAAACCGATAAGTACTACATTATAAGAAATTTTCATTGTTAAAAATATAATTTATACAGGGTGTCTCATTAGTGCGTTATTGTTCATTATTTTGTTGTAGACACGCAAGAAAGTTTTAAATAAAAGTTATATGGATTTGAAAAATACCTACATATTTTAAAAATATCTTTGGATATACAGGGTGTCACGTTTTTGCCTGGAAAATTAAAATGTATGTTTTTTAAATGGAACACCTTGTATTTTATTTTATGATGAAATTATTAACACCCTAAATTATTGTAAAGACGAATTGCTACAGAAAATGTTTTATCAGGTATGTGTGTGGTTACCTTTTAATAAAAGCCTTGCGGATCCACTCCTGCGATACCTGTCTTAAATATAACAAAGATCACGTTGAATTAGACGATTTTTCTTTTTATTGCTTTTAAAAGGCATATGATAACGCCAATTCAGATACATTTGGAAATCTGCAACTGTCAAATGATGAATTTGTAGAACTAATATTCAATATTGAAAAGATATTTTAAAATAATTTTGAAGAATTGGCTACAAAAAATAACATTTGTACCACACTTTTAGAATTAATTAACCCAATACCCTTTAGTCATCCATGCTAAAGTTTTCCAAAAGAATAACTTATTTTATTGTATGTTTAATCTCAATAACTAAAAAATATACTGACAATTAGTTTGACAGAATTGTCATTTATTTAAAATTTTAAAAATAATAGCAGTCGGTTGATCAAAATATGAACGGTGATTGGCGAATTTATTTTTTTTTGCAGTGTTCTCACTACCTATAATGGATATGAAATATATTCGTTCAATTGAAGGCAATAGCATACTTTTTCGTTTTGTAATTTGTGCATGGATATTAGCCAATCTACGCACATACTACAAAACGAAAAATTATGTTATTGCGTTCAACTACGAATATATTTCATATCCATTTTAGGTAGTGAGATCACTTTAACAAAATTAAATCTACAAATCACAGTTCATATTTTGGTCACCCAACTCCTATTATTTAAATTTTTTTAAATAAGTGACAATTCTGTTAAACTAATTGTCAATATATATTTTAGTTATTGATATTAAATATACATTAAAATTTTTGTGTAGACTCGATAAATAATAGCATTTTTGTTTTTATTATGTCCACATTTAAAAAAAATAAATTTTAATCAAACTACATGATACTAATTTAATTACGAGTATTAAAACTAAAGTCCTGAAAGTTTCGGTGAAGATGAGGACAGAACATCTGCCTTCCATGCGAAAAGCCCGGGATCGAATCTAGGCCGAGGACTAATTAATTTTTCATGTTTATTTTATTTTATAAATTAGTCAACTTCGTAAATTATTTTAGAATTAGTTATTTTGTCTAAATAACCTAAAATAATTTTTTAAATTTGTAGATTTTCGTTAGTGGGTCGTAGAAAAAATATACTGACCATATCGAGTGGATTGTTCATATCACAATCAGACGATTGAGTACTCCGCCTACGACGTCGTGCTCAAACTTCGTCTTTGTGTGATATGGCTATCATATCCACCCTTGTTGAACAAACTACAATTTATTTGTTTTCTTGGTTTAAGTTTTACATCAGAAATAAGAACTAAATTAATTTACTTTTCAAGTTTTCTTGTAAAAATCGATATTACTTTCTCCAAGTACAAATTTAGTACCTACCTAAAATAAGTACTAAATGTAATATCGTGTAATATTGTAATTCAAATTTCACATTACTATAAAGTTTCAAAATTCCCTACTTCGGTATGGTCAGATAAAAATTGAATATATTATATATCATATATAAAAAATTGCTTAATCCGGGCCCGACTTTTCCCTTTAATCTAACAGAGATAGCACCATTCCGTCTTGCTTGGTTCTCGACCGCCAGATCAAAGACGCCGACACGGAGTTGTGGAGCTATATTGTATAAGCTGTGCTCATATCCCCAAAGTGACAAACCATCGTGGATAACTACTAGATGTAATTTTTGATTTTGCTTCCTAAGTATAGATGGCGATACCACTGTCGTATCTACTCATGCTCAACCCGCCATAATTGAGTTGATCGAACATTTTTTCGCATTAAGACTCTATTAGAGACTGGAGTCGAGAATTTCCATTTATTGCTGAAGAGTCCTAATAAGGATGACTTTTTCCTTAGTGGGCAAACTCAAAGGCAGATTGTTGTAAATATTTTTTATCTCTATTTTCTTTCGACGTTATCATTCATTTGGTTACTTATGAATGTCTACTAAAGATACCTATAAAATATTTTGCTGAATATCTAAATTCTATATCCTGGGATATAGACGGACATTTGGTTGGATATCCACATTTGGATATTGGATATCCACAAAATATATTCTGTGGATATCTCTGGGATTTCTTGTATTGCCTGGAAGATACTAATTAGATATTTTGCTGAATATCCATAGGATATCTTCTATATTCTGGATATAGACGGACATTTGGATATCCATATTAGATCCACGGAATATTTCTGATATCCTGTGGATATATTGGATATCCACAAAAGATATTCTGTGGATATCTTTGGGATTTGGTGTGTTGTCTGGGACAGACTAAAAATTGAAAACGCTGAGAAAAAAGAAAGAAAAAATGCCTGCATGACCGGATCTTTTCAATTTTTTTTTAATTTCTTTTCACTTTGGGGATATGAGAAAGTAATTTTCATAATTTTGTAAGGGGAATTAGAAATTTTTCATTAAGTTATTTAAGCGTTTTGCCACTTTTAATAAGATCAAATTAAATGCCACCATTGTTATTTGTCGAATACAAAATTACCACAAAACTGTACTTACCAAATTTCACCATTTAACAAACCTTTTCAAATTTGGTCATACTAATTTTCATTTTATTTAGATAAAATTAAATAATGAATAGTAAATAATGTTTAACATACTCATTTATAATTAATACCAACAGTATTTTCTGTACTTTAGTTAGCAATTAAAACAAAGACTTATTTACAATAATTAAAATCAACAGTATTTTCTGTGCTTTAGTTAGCAATAAACAATTTGCTTTTTAGTATTTTCATAAAATTTTGTAAAATCCTTAACTAAATGTTTTACTTTAAACGGTGTCTTAGTATGCCCTCAGCCCTATTTAGCTTTAATTAAAAAATAATTAACCCTACCCATCAAATTTCAATACTTATCATCAATAATTTGCATTTTACTTAAATAGGAATAAATAGTAAATAATGTATCAATTAAAATATGTAAGACTTATTTAGAAATAAATACAACAGTATGTTCTGTGCTTTATTTAGCTATAAACAAGTTTACTTTTATTATTTTGACAAAATTATGTAGAAATCCCATAAGAAGCCGTGTATTTTGAACTACGTAAACAGTACCAGCGCCCATGCGGTTAATTATAAAAACTCAATTGACTTGTGATTTTTGGGACCGTATTTTGAGCATGCTGATTCGCCTCCTTATCTCTAGTCTTCATAGTGGCGACACATCAAATATAAATCTGGCCACACTGCTCTCACGCTCATTTTCCCATAGTTGGAGAATAGGCTCCTTGGTATATAAAAAATCAACCAGAACCAACAAAAAATTCTGAATAGGTATACGATATGTTGAATATTTGAAACCTTTTTTGATTTATAGCCCCAATTCAACCGTTACCAGGTAAAAGGTTATTGTCTGAATTGTTACCTGGGCCCCTGGATTGAAGAAGGGTCTTAGATAAAAATGGAAGGGAATTTGGACAAATATTTTCCAGCCAACAGTCTATGGATTTGTCAGTTATTTCTTTTGAAATAAGGTTGCAGTAGCAGATGTAGGTAATCTGGATGAAAATAGCAATTTTTGGGGGGACAAAATTGATTAACATTTTAGTTTTCATGATTAAAAAAAGACGTTGATTTCAAACATGAACTGGTATTTAAAATTGTATATTTGGTATTTTATTACAATTTAATTAAAATATACTGGATATTTTTTTTTTATTTACCAGTTCTAATATATCTCAAAATAGTCTTAAAAAATATTTCAAATAACATATCTTATTTAAAATTGTATTTGGTATTTTCCTGTAAATTGAATTAAAATAATCTGAATGAAAATTTTAATATTTTTTCGAATAAAATGATTTTACCAGTTGTAAAATGTCTCAAAATGGTGAAAAAAAAACGTACACTTCAAATAACACGTACTGGTCTTATTTAAAATTGTATATTTGGTTTTTTTCTACAAATTGAATTAAAATTATAAAATTGTCATTTCCTGAAAATTGAACAATTTTTTTTTATATATCTACGTGACAAGACAACACTAGACAATTCCAAATTACACTTTTTATATTACGATAAACTTTCAATTCTTAGGAGTAACTGAAAAGGTGTGAAAGAAAAGGAGAAAATAAAAAATAAACAAAATAAAATATATACAAAATTTATGTTAGTTCAAATGCAATATAAAATTACAAATCAGTCATTCTGTTTTTAGAGTATGTTTAATAAAATGAAGGTATTACTCAAAATAATACTATGATTAAGCAAAAGTAAAAAAAAAATTAAATAATAATTATTAATTAAAAGCAAAAGAGATCTGGAGTTTTTATTTATTCGTCATCTTCTTCCTCTTCGTTTTCACTGCTTTTGTCTCCATTCTCTTCTTCTGCTGATTCTTCTTTTTCTTCCTTCTTCTTTCTGCCACGCCTGCTACTTACTGAAATGTATAAAAAAAAAGATTAAATTATGTTACACAAAAATTGTATTTTATAGAAAGCAAAAATGATCATTCTTCAAAATCCCAAGGTGAACATAAATAAAAAAAAAGTTTCAAGAGCTGTAATATTTTATAAAAGTAGCCCTGATTTCATATTTGCTAATTAAACCAGTTTTCCAAGTAGCATTGTTATTTATTTTTAAAACTTGAACCAAATTTATATTTTTTTATCTCCCTCATATTATGATAAACAATTATAATATTTATGAACTTAAATACTGGATTTTAAGTTATGTACACAATTTCCGAGAAATGAACAATAAAAAGTATATTATGATAAATTTTGACATTACTCGTAAATTAATAATACCACTCTCAAGTGCCCTACTGAAGAAAACATAAACAAATCAATACATATTATGCATTAGATAAACTCTTACCTCCATTAGCTTTTGCTTTCGTTTCCTTCTTTTCGGGTTTCTTGGCAGTACCCTTTGGCCTTCCCCTTCCTCTCTTTACTGGTGGTGCATCTTCTACCTCAGCTTTGGCATCCTAATGTGAAATAATAATAATTACTTACTGCCCATAATTTAGGAGTTTTCATCAAAATATTAAGAAAACATTTTAATCATTGCTCTTGTATATACTGCATTTAAAAAATATATATTTGAAGCATGTATTTAATGAATTTATTTATAATTAAAAAGCCCAAAAATTTACAATAAAAAAAATGTATTTTCAAAATGTTGTAGATAATTTTTGGCGTATTTACTATTTTTTAATCAAATATTGATCTTTCTTGTATATATCAAATAATGAATTGAAAAAATATAGTCTCAAACATGCCTCAAATGAAGATATTTTGCTACCATTTTCAATAGAAAATGTGTTATTTATTAAAATGCCAATACCAACCATTTTAGTTTTTTTTTTTTTTTGTATTAATATCTTAAATGAATATATTTTTTATTAAAAAAATCCCAAAATCAAAGAGATGTATTTTTAAAATGCTATAATTTTCTATAATCACCCACCATTTTAGTTTTTTTTATTATTTGAAGCTATAGGTACCTATTATGTTTTAATCAAATGTTCAAAAGGTTTTTTCTTTAAATCACAAATTTTAAAAATGATGCTGTACTCAAAGGTTATAAAAACATGTTTTGAAATAAAATCAATAAGTTTTTTTATAAAAAAAATGCCTACCTATACAAAGATTATTTATTAAAAAAACAAATTAAATTAATTAAAAATGAGCGCCAAAAGTTCAAAGTATTTATAATAATGCAGATAATTTTATGTATAAAAAATTATATAGAATTTTGGTAACCATGTTGTATAGGCCATCTTAGTCTGTAGATAAAGCATTAATAAGTGATTTTGGGCAGGGCTTTAATACCTATACCTATTGAAATGCTCGAATATTTGTAAAAAAAAATCAAAATAAAGGAAAAAAATGGAAACAAAATCTGAGATAAGGCGGACATATTTAGCTTCTCGTTTGTAGAGAAAAAGCTGAAAAAGCATTATTTCCCGATTTACACCCAAGCTTTGTGCAAAAATCGAAACAAGCTCGTAATAAATTCCGAAATCAAATTTATACGCTTCATATTAAGAAAAATTAGCATAGAAACTAGAAAAGCCTTAATTGCGGCTTGGCTTGGGTAATAATTTATACGGCGTTACTTGAGATAAAAATGGTAAATTTCACAAAACATACAAATCCTCGATTTTATGATAAATCAATAACTAGCAAAAGCTAATAGCTTACCTTCTTTGAGCGTTTGGTGGCTTCTACTGCTGCCTTGCGGCCTTTCTTTGTTTGAACTTCTTCATCAGACATTTTGGATGCTATAAATTCGCAAGAAAATAGATTAAAATTAATTTAAATTATTCACAGTTACTATACACGTTTTTAAAATGTAAATAAATGATTGTTTACCTATTAATAAACTGGATAACTAGTAATAAAAATATAAGTTAGTAGTTATGAGTGAGCTTGGCTTGGAACTAGCAACGGAATCAACTATTCACCACAACAGACAACCGGCTTTTGATTTTCGCTGGGCGCAATTCGATCAAACGAGACAAATCCAAACCGGACTTTTGAAATTATACAAAGGAGCGATGTAAAGCGCGTGCGTAGCGTGGCTTGGCGTCTTTTTTGCGAGGGGTTCGTTCGCTTTTCTCCCGCCTGAATAACGGTTGCTGTTTAAAATTCCCGCCCGAAACTTAACCCACGCCGCAATGACAGCAAGCCATCGATTAAATTCTCATTTTCAAATTCCAAGTAGGTATTTATTTTGGCTACCTCGAGGCAAAATTCATGCATTTATCCACCGACAACGATTTATCTAAGATAATTTTTGCATTTGTTTGTGGGATTACGAGCACTGAAATACTGTTTGGATATAGCCCACGTGTATTTATCATTTCTAATTTCTTAAAAAATATATTTTTGTCTTTGTATTCTTTGAATATCTGCCGTTTGTTTTGTATTAATAAATCACAGAGCTGAAATAGAACTCAAATAATATACGAGTATTGTACATAGATAAATTAATATTAATTTATCTATGATATTGTATTTATAAATCAGTAATAGAATATTTAAAATTTGGCGGGCTTATGACAATTTGCTTTTTTTATTTCCAAATCAAGGCAAGTCGATGGGAAGGTTTGGTATGTCAAAAGGGTTGCGACATACGATGTATTCTATCTACGATACGAGAAATCATGAATAAAGGGTTAAATTTATATATTTTATGTCAAACACAATGAAAATATTATTAAAAAGAAGCGTATACGTTTTTCATAAATTGGTAGGCTAGGCGAATAAAAATAGCGTCCAAGATGGAAGACTAAGTCGCAACCCTCTTAGATATAGGTACGAGACCTTCCCGCTGGAGTTTATTGTTTGACAAATCATTGGAATGCCTATTTTACTCTCATTACAAATTACATTTACAATCAAAAACAAATCTCTCCCATAATGAAAAAAATTCTTACACAACAGTTTTTTGTAAATTCATAATTTTTCGGAACATCTATAAAAAAAATCAAGTTCTCAAATCTCTTTGTGACGTACACTGTTGCCAAATGTCGATTTGTGACGTCACGGGTCACGGCAAACCTCCCACGTATTTAAATTCAATATTATGATTGTATTGTATGTATGTCTGGGAGAGTGTTTCTATTGATTTTAATTAAAAATAAAGGAACATTATCTTTGGAATATTAGTTTTTTTATTTTCTTATTTTTTGCATATTTTTTTGCGAAGCAATCTGCAATGGCTCCAGGCCGCAAACGTTAGGTGATTTATTTTAGTTATTCTTTAATCATTTCATGTAAAAAAAATGCGAAGCACCCCGCCAATGCTTCAGGGCGCTTTTTCTTTCAGGCGTTGATTTGATAAGCGTCAATTTAATTAACGATAGTTCGTTCAGTCGATACGCGCTATTTTGAGTAGGCGCTATTTCGTGAAGGTAATGCGCCATTTTAAAATTTAACACCTCTTATAAAAAATCTTATAGAACTTATTTGCGGCAATAATTTTTTAATCCGTAAATAGCTATTTTTGAGGGGTAGGTTGATGACTCAGTGGTTATAGAGTCATGACTTTAAGATCGAAGGTATGTCAGGTTCGAATCCCGCCAGTGACAGCATTTTAATTTAATTTAACTAATTAAATATTTATTCTAATACATTGGTATGATTCCCCACTCGACCGTTCACTGTTGGGTTCTAATATGGGTTCTAATTAACAGTGATGTTCCTAAAGTGACGCTGAGAAACAGTTACAACGCCTACATACAACACGAGGCATGATGCTGATGAGAGAAAAAAAATAGCAACGAGTTACGAAATGCCTTATTTCATGTAACGAGTAAATATTTGTGGGACGAGCAAAGCGAGGTCCCGCAAAATGAACAAGTTACACAAAACGGCGTTTCGTAACGTGTTACATACAAGATTTTCTCTAATTTTGACTAAATTATAAAAATGTGTTTTTGTGCCTCTATTCAAAAACTTTATAAATAGAATATTTTGAAAATTGTAAAGAAAAATGTGACATTTTATATAATTTCGCTCTGCTCGTCCAGCAAATATTCCATCGTTAGATAAAATAAGGCATTTCGTAACTGGTGCATAATAGCTAGGTATTTAACTTCTCTTGAACTTAAATGAGAAGGAAGTAGTAAATATGGCCACAAAAGCTCTAATGGTATGCAAAAACATTGCGGGTAAACCATGGAAATGTAATCCGAACACACTGCGATGGATACATCCTCTGTGCTACAATCTACAATATAGTGAGACCAATCATCACTTACAGGGTAACGGAACTAGTTTAGCTACTACGAGAGCCCCTGTTTGCATCACCGCTGCAATGAGAACCTGTCCTACGCCGCAGTGGATGAGGTGATCTTTAACCTTACCCCTCTTTATTTAATGATAGAGAATATGGCAAAAAGGACACGATATGTAATGATCAAGATCAGAGTAATCAGACGAAAGGCTATTAGCTTAAGGACCGAAGATATTTACTTGGGATATGCCCCAAGATGAAATGAGAAAGTACAGTTTTGTGAAAAACTTCAAAACCACAGAGAGGGCTGCAAGGAAGAATGAAGCCAAGAATCCATCGTTCTTGAAAGCGAAAGACATGGTATTCAGTGATATACGGATGGTTCCAAAACCATAGAAGGAACTGGAACAGGAATGTATGGGCTTAGAACCAGACTCTCAGAAAGTTTTGGAAAATACACAAGCATCTTCCAGGCGGAAATTCACGCCATTGAGAAGTTTACCCAGTCTAACATCAAGAGAAACTATCGTAGACAGGAGATTATCATCATGTCCGATAGCCAAACAGCCATCAAACAGCTGATGAGCTCTTACGTATTCAGCTCAAAGATGGTGTGGAGATGCTTAATAAAATTGATTGAGCTAGCCGAGGAAAATACTCCCTGTTATTCTCACTTGGGTCCCGGGACATAACGAGGTACCGGGTAACGAAATTGCAGATAGTCTCGCAATGAAATGGCCTCAAACACAGTTTGTGGGACGGCCGTTCTGTGGTATCAGCAGTAATACAATCATAAGGAGAGATTGTAAAAGAATTGGGCAGTAGAAGAACCGATAATTGGAACAATCTATTTGGGCTAAGACAGGCTAAGATACTTCTGGGTGAATATAACCAGAAAAGATCGAAAGCCTGTATCTGCCTGAGCAAGAACACGCTACGTATTGTAACAGAGATCCTTACTGGACATTGTCGACTCAAAGGTTACCTTAGTAAACTGAAAGTAGAAGAAGATAGTGAGTGCAGAATGCTGATACTGCGAGAAGGGGGCGCGGGAATTCACATTCTGACTGAATGTGTAGCACTCCAGAATCCAAGGGCACTATACCTAGGAGCATATCAAACAAAAGAGGGAGATTTATCTCACTTCAAGTCACTCCAAATCATACAGTTCCTAGAGAAGATATGATTTTGGAAGGTCGTTATAGGCATTGAGACATATTTCCTTGCTGCATTAGCGACAGAAGAAAGCCAAATAGATTTTTTTGGTCGCAGTATATTATTACTTCATTCCCAATATATCATAAGATATCCTTGCGGTTTTAAATTAACTTGACTGCTTTTGCACGTATCAAAGTCAGTATATCAAACATTCTTCACGGCACACAGACTGTTAAATAACTTAAAATAATGTTTCTAGCAAGAAATAAATCGAGTTTACCTCAAAGCTAACAAATATTCAAGTATTCAATACAAAACAGAATACAAATTAAACTCTCAAACATACAAAAAACTTAAAACAAGCAAATACATGACTACAAACGTAAACATCTTCAGGTTCTACGGTGACGTAAATTTATACGTAATAATGTAAGTAATCTATCCTGTTACAGATTCATAATGCTTGGAAAGATTCTGCCCTTACTCCCCCTTCTTCCTTCTCTACACTCAACAGTGTTGCCGCTAGTGAGATTTTGTTATATGTCTTGTATCTGTTTATTTTTGTTTATTATTGAAGTGTCAAAATAAAAAGAGTGAAGGGTGATATGATGAGTTTCTCAAGAATTTTGAGTTTATTTTAACTTTTTAATAGACTAGCACTAGTATAGAATACGGAAACATGATTCCTTCCTAGTATCAGGAATCGTTTATTTAATTATGTTTTAAAATTCCCTTATTAAAATGGTTACATCAGTTCTCCACCCTTTTTTATATAGGTATTCTATGTTTACTGGAAATAATTTAAGGATTTAATTATTTTTTGAGTAAGTAAATTTGTACATTTTAATCGACCAATTTGAATATTAGAATGATATCTTACCTACCTTTTATAATAATGAGTAGTAGGTATATGACATTATAGTCTTTGCTAAAACATTTTATTTTAATATTAAAATTTGATACAATCATTTCATAGGATAGGTTGCCACCAGGTTCTAGGCTATGGCAAATACATGAATTTCTCCATGTGGAAGTAATTTTTTTATACTATAATGTCTTAATAACCTAACAGTTTGTTTTATTTTATGAATGAATTATATTCTTATCTATAACATATTTGGAGTGACAATATTACTTAATTTCGACAAAACAGTGAATGGCCTACAACAATTTTTCTTTGGTTCTTTTTTTACCTCCTGAGCATATCTCCAGGCAAACAGAAATGAAAAGGTGGCACTAGTCCAATTTATATTTCCAATATAACTATCCTATATAAAGTTAGATATCACATTTAAAAAGTACATTAACTGATATTTTCTCTAGAAGTTCATCATGGAACAAGCAGATACAGAAAAAGAGAAAAAACCAGATGAGACTCAACAGCAGCTAAGTCCAAATGCTTTGAAAGTTGCTGCTGCTGATTGCTTAAATAGCTGGATACACTATCTGCAGGTATTTTTAAAAAATATATTGTCTGTCTTAAATTTTCTATAAAATTGCAATTACTTAATATTTTTTAGATGCTCAATAATATGTGTGCAGCTGGACTGCGCCTCTCTCAATCGCTCACCAACCTGTCTCAAATGCAAAATATACCATTAGCTTTACAGTGCCAATCCAGTTGGGAAGAACTTTCTAAATCGACAGTTGTAGCAAGCAATTCTGTGAAAACCCATATCGCCAATGCCATGCAGGACATGAGCATCGGTAAGTCCTAAATAATATTCTCCATTTAAAAATAAAAATATGTGTGTCCAACACATAACTTTTCTGTAAAGTTATCAAAAATACTGAGTAAGGCTCATCTAATTAAAAAGTATTTAGAATATTTATTTATTTATTTATTTTACAAACTGTTCTACAGGAAATTCCAAATTTAAGAACAGGCAAACTATGACAGAAAAATACAATGTAAAAAATTACAAAACAAAAGAATAAAGGTTTAAGAAAAAAAAACAGACTATTTAAAACGATAAAATAATCACAAAAGCAAATGTTTTATGTCCAAAATTCTAATGTTAAATGTATCCAACTAAGAGTTAATGCTGTTGCAATTACTACACATGACATATAGTGGGGATTTGCTTAAAATGTTGGTGTGAGGAGTGGTTGAGTAAAAAGTATCATTGCACCTAGAAGTTTGGTGGAGAATCCTAAAATTTAACATATGCTCTTTACAATTTATTTTGTTGGTTATGACTTTGTGCAGTGTAACCACTGAAAAATACATGCGCCTTGCTTCAAGACTTGACTATGACTATGTCTTACTAACAGTTCGTTATGTGGGGTGCCAATTGGAGGATACACTTGGTCTTCTCGAAAACTTAAATATTTGAGAAACCATCTTTGAAGAGCCTCTAACCTGGTAACATGAACCTGGTAAATGGGACTCCATATAACCAAAGCATATTCAAGCTTTGAGCAGATAAATGCATAATAAAGATACTTTAACCTACTTGCATTCTTAAAATCCCGAAAATTCTGAATTATGAATCCGTACATGAGGCTTGCTGCAGTTAATATACCGTCAATATGGTAATTGAAGGATAGTGCTGAATCAAAAGTAATGCCCAAATCCACAAAGTTATTTGGTCTGCATAATAGATTGTTGCCTATACAGTAATTGTAAGCAATTGGATCAGAGCTTAATGAATAAGACATGACATTACACTTCGAGGGATTCAAATTAAGGTTTTTTCCTGACACCATTCGATAACTCTCAGAAGATTGTGTTCTGTTGGTGAGATATGATATAAGAAGCCGAATAAGATTGTTTGAAAGTCCAAAAAAGGCTAGTTACAGAGGATAGAGATAGGGCGATAGTTTTCCACCTCAGTTTTATTTCCTTTTTATATATGGGACAAACCTTAGACTCTTTCCACACTGACGGTATGATTTTAGTCAGGATGTAGGTATTTATAAGTACAGTTAAAGGATGAGCCAGTGCTACAGCACAGTATTTTAAAAGAAAAGCAGGAATATGCTCAGGCCCAGTAGTCCTCTTGGGCTTTACTGATTTTAAAGTATCTAATACTTGGTTTTCTAAAAAGCTAGTAATGTTTAAGTGATAGATGTGGCTTTCATTTATCGGGACATTTGTGGCTGAAGACTGCACACAAGATTTACTAAAAAAGGTAGCAAAGCCATTTAATATATCTGATGGATTAAGAAGAAAGTTACCTTCATAGAATATAACAGATTACAATAAAATACTATATGAACAAGATAAAACTAAATATAATATATTGCTAAAAAATGCAAAACAAAATAACATTCCAAAAAATTAATAATTCAGAACATAAATCTAAATTTGTATGGCAAATAATAAATAATAAAACAGAACAATGTAATAAAAATCAAGTAGAATTTGAAATCGATATAGAAACGTTTAATAACTATTTTGTAAATCATTCATCTGATCTAGTAGAAAGCATTCCCTATAAAAATAAAATTGATTTAACTTGTTATAACCAAAACATTATCAATCTTATTTGTTCCTTTTACTGAATTTGGATAAAGTACAAAACATTAAATTCAAAAGAACTCAAGGTACATATAACATTAAAACCTATTTATTAAAGAATTGTGCCCAAAATATTGTCGGTCCTATTACTGAAGGTACTTTTTCATATATTTTTTAAACATCCGAAGTTCTACCTTGCCATAAAAAATGAGATGACTCTGAAGGTACCTGAAAAATGCCACCAAATTCATATTTTACCATGTTTTTTTTTAATACTTGAAAATGTTGTAAAACAGATTGTGCCTTACTTTGAAAACTTCAATCTGTTCTCTGCTCATCAATGTGGTTTTGAACATAGAGAATAACTACATAAACCATGCTAGCTTTAATGAATAACATTCAGAAGTCTTTTTCGAAAAGAAATCACAATGCATTGCTCTCAGCATTGCTATATTCATTAATATATCTAAAGAATTTTACTGTGTAAGTCACGCATTGTTAATCAACAAACAATATAAATATGGCTTTAGAGGAGTTGCAATTAAGATGATTGCCTCTTATGTATAAAACAGACAACAAAGTGTATATTACACAAATATACACAAATAAAGTTAGTAAACCTTTAATAAAGAAAAGAGGTGTAACACAAGGAACTATACTAGGCCCTCTATTATTTTTAATATACACCAATGGTCTTTCCTCATATTCAAATAACCTCGAATTACTAACTACTATATACACAGATGATACTAATTTCTCCTTTACTGCAACAACACATCTGATGACATATTTATCAAAAACTCTTAAGATTATGACTGAAGCTGTACAATAGTTTGATAGCAACTAATGATTTTTAAATCACAATAAAACTGAAACATGTGTTTTTAGGTAAAACCGAACAACTAATGAAACAAATGAATATTACTCTTTGACATATTTTACATGGTACTGCCAAATAAATAGCTTATGTAAAATTAACATTTGCTCTATGTAAAATGTCAAATATAGTCAATACTATAATGAACCATGTGAATCACTATTTAAACAACTTAGCATAATGACCATGTTTTCACAAATAGTTTTTGAAAACAATCATACATACGATAGCAGAGAGAAAAATCAGCTAATTCAAACAAGAACTAGTATAAACAAGTCCAGAACAATAGGCATTTCCTTCTATAATGCACTCCCACCCCACATTCGAGGTATACCAGGAAAAAAGTTTAAACAGCAAATTAAAAATATTTTTCTACACCCATGTCAGTAAACCTTAAAAATCACACTATCAACATTCCTTGTAAATGACATTTAACAATAACATGCACGTAATAAGATCTCATAACATACACGTGCGTTTTGATAAGAAAACTTAAATTTCTTGGTTTAATCAAATTGCAATAAAAATTTTGTCTATGTAAGACTTTATGTGGTCTATTTATATAAATTTAGTCATTTAAAAAACATAAAAACGTTTAGCATTAGCGAGATACATTTTGGATTAAAAGAGTGATGTCCCTAAACGTCATGCCATTTGACATTGGAACTACTCAATAAACAAATATTTTTAGGTATCATTTTGTTTATAAAATATGTGCTTTCACAGTCTTTTGTATATTTTGTTTTATAGTGTGCTTTTAGAGGAAAAAATACCTCTTTAGAATTTTTTTAGGTTAATGTTTTATTATTAATGTTTATTTGTCAAGTAATCCTCTTTAAATTTCTTTTTAATTACTTTTATTGATTTATGATAATTTTATATATTTTTGATGTGTTTTGATAAAATACTTGTTCTATTTTTTTGTAAGATATCTGAAATAAAGTTAAATATAATAGAATTTATAAAGTATATATTGATGGACTTCGAAATCTAAGGACTGTTATTGAATCAGAAACAAATGCAGGCCATAGTTCTATCTGACAGAAGAGAATTCAGTGATAGACCTAATATGTATCATTTAATTCACCGTAAAATGGACTAAAAATGACGATCCTTTTTGTAAATTAACCACTGATCTGCAATATTGACTTAGTATTATTATTATCGAACTTCAATGTCTGAGAAACTTAAATGTAAATTAGTTACACAGAGTGTCTTTTTCTGCCAACTGAAAGTGCCATGTATTGGACCATTTGAGCCAATTATGGAGAACAAATTTGAAATTCAATAAAAAGCCTAATACATAATTTGATCGAGAAATTGTAATGTGTAAGGGAGGGTTGTTCAATAGGCCGTTAAAATGTAAACTTAGTTTAAACATCGGTTATTGTTAAACAAAGTTTTTAAAATGACATTTATACTTTGATTGTTACAAGACCCAAGAAGAAGACGGATAGATGTAAAAAACAGGTTAAAAAATGTGAGAGATCTAAACAGAGCATGTGAAAATGTTTAAATATTAGAACAATGTGGGTGCATTATACACACTGTCGGCTATCGAACGTTTTCCAATACGTTTTGCATATTCCTAAGTGAAAACTACAGCGAGTTAGCGTTAGCACAAGCAGGAAACTAATAATATCAACGTATCCAGCCGTGTACTTGTTCACATTACACAGCGCACAAGGAAACGTTCTTATTATTCGTTTCCTGCTAGAACTAATGCTAACTCTCTGTGGTATTTGTTTCGATGCTAACAAAGCATATTGAACGGTGTTTAATAGCTGATACTGCATAGGGTGACTCAAATGTGAGGAATAATAACTGTAACTTTTAAAATATTGAAAACATTATTAAAAAAAGTTGTTCTGTAGTTCACTTAAAATTTTATGGTGACATCGCCAACTTAGATAAAAATAAAAATACAAAGCTCTCAAGGGAGCCAACTTTTTTAATTGGAAGCCCCTTTTTACATAAGAATTTGAAAGACACTATTTTCTGATTGCAATGGTGTATTAATATCAGTATTTATTTTTGTTTATTTATTTAAACGGGATCAACCCCATTACAAAGCAAAACACATATAAATGATACAGATAATTGACCTTAAATTATAAATTAAATAAAAAAAAAAACAACTCAAAAAAAGTTAAAATTAAGTCAAATAAGTTTATACAGATTGCCTTAAATTTATTAAAAGAAATGATGTGACCTCAAGATTCAATTGATTTATTACCCTCAATGTTATTTCAATAGGTAAATGCATGCCATAGTTTTTATTTTGAAATGGAACTTGGAACATATTTATTTGTCTAAGGACTCTATTAGGAATATTGAAAGACATTATTTCTAAGAATTCCGGGCATATGACTAGACTATTTAATAATCTATAGATAAAATTCAAATCTGATATAAGTCTCCTGTACTTAAATCGGCTCATATTCATTTCATTTAAAATATTAGTATAATTGTGATCGGTTACCCAAAAATTTATTTTGTATTTTTTCCACTGCTAGACAGTGTATATGATATTGTTGCGACCAAATTATAGAAGCATACTCTAACTGAGGTACAACTAATGTTTGATAAACTCTTTTTATGGCTTCTAGAGAGAAATCAGAATAGTTACCCAATATTAACCTTAAGCATTTGGACGATTTTATTGAGATTGAATTTATATGTTCAATAAATCTTAATTGTTCACCTAAAATAACTCCTAAATCTTTGACTGAGTTAACCTGGGATAGTGGCTTATCATTAATGTAATATTGTGAGTTGCACTTTTTGTTCCCTTTAAAAAGCTTATAAAGCAACATTTATTAACATTCAACTGTATTTTATTATGGTTGCGCCATATAACTAAGTTGTTGAGATCATTCTGAATGAAGGCTTGATCGTTAGATGAGTAAATTGGTCTATACAACTTTAGGTCATTCACGAACATTAAGAACTCACAATGTTTAAAGCGTTCTATTATATTATTAATAAATATATTAAATATAAGTGGTGAACAATGAGAGCCCTGTGGTACACCAGAGGAAACCCTAATTAATCTTGATCTATTACTACCGATTTTAACTTGCTGATTTCAAAAATTTTTAAACCATTTCATGAGATGGTATACCAAATGACTCTAGTTTCGTTAACAATATTTCATGATCAACCCTGACAAACGCTTTAGCGAAATCTGTGTAAACAGAGTCAACTTGCCCTTTAGCTTCTAAAACATTTAATATATTTTGTTCGTATAACAATGGATTTGTAACTGTAGATTTTTTTTGACAGAAGCCATGCTGGTTATTGATCAAAAGTTCCTTGCAGTGAAAATTAAGCTGGTCAAAAATTAAGCTGTCCATTAATTTAGGTAAAGAAGATTGAATACTAACGCTTCTATAATTATTTATATCAATCCGTTCTCCTGATTTAAAAATCGGGAAAACAAAACTGTGTTTCCAGATATCTGGGAAAACACCCGTATCTATAGATTGCTTAAATAAAATGTAAATAGCCATTGTAAGGAAAAAATTGCAGTTTTTAGAAATATATTTGGAATCCCGTCGGATTCTACACTATTTTTATTAGGAAGTTTAGATATTTTATCAAAAATCAACTCAGTAGAAAACAATGGACAGGGAATGTTAATAAATGTGGCCAAATTACTATCATTATTCCTGTTTATATGAGTCAGTGTATACTGTACCAAAGTAATTTGCAAAATTTTCTACAATTTGTTCTCCATTTGCTCCTAGGTTACCATTATAGTGCATTGTGTTAGGTAAGTTATTACATTTCCTTTTATTGTTTATGTAGGTCCAAAAACATTTGGGATTATTGTATAAAGAGTGGTTTACCTGTCTAATATAGTCATTGTAACATGTTCTAGAAAGATTTTTACAAGCCGCTCTCAATTCCGAAAAGTATCTGTAGTCTTCTATATTATGAGTTGTTATGTATTGTTTATGAGCTGATTTTTTGCCTTATGAGATATCTAAGTTACGCATTGAACCATTTAGGGAAATTAGACGAGACAATTCTTTCTAATAGGACAAAAAGTGCAACACCCATGTTTACTATATGATAGAACTCATTCGAGGCAATATTTATTTATTTATTTATTTATTTATTTGTCTTAAGTACACTACAGAAATATGAATTCCAAATGGCACAGTCTTAAAGCTAAAACAACAATTAAAGTATAATTATATATACATAAAAAAAAACCGAATATATAAATATCAAAACTCTTCAGAAATTTTAAAATACATTTAACGTCTAAAAAACAAAGTCTAACACCATACAAGACAAGAAAATAACCTAAAATTTTAAAATTCGAGCATCCTCTTAACAGATAATAACGTACAATTAAAAATATCACAGTGAGAATAGTGCTTATTATAGTTGCACAAAAGCCTATTCATGAAAGCTCTTTGTCCATAGTTTGTACGATGGGTTTTCTCAAAGAATAGTTGTGACTGACGAGTATGCCTTAACGGAACAACAAAATTTACTTGGCATAACAATTTTTCACAAATAATGTCTCCATTAATTATTTTGTAGAGCAAAAGTAACATTGCATCCCTGCGTCTCCGTTCAAGAGTTTGCATACCACAGAGTAGCAGTCTCGTTTCATACGATAAATCCCGACATGGAAAGCGAAATTTAAATAGCAAATATTTACAAAATTTGTTTTGAACTCGTTCAATTCGGTTGACATACATAGCTTGTGACGGAGACCAAACAGTACTGCAATACTCTAAAATACTTCGGATCAAACCACTGTACAAACATGTTATTGCTTTAGTGTCTTGTATATGCTTTGTGCTTCTTTTTATAAATCCTAATAGCCTAAACGCCCTCAGAATGATAGTATCAACATGTAAAGAAAAGGATAATTCCCTGTCGAATATTACCCCTAAATCATTAAATGTGGAGACGCTCTCCAGCGTAGTATTATTAATAATGTATGAGTTTTCGACGGGGTTAGAACGTCTGTAAAATGATATAACTTTACATTTTGATATGTTTAGTTCTAAATAGTTAGAACTGCACCAAGAGACAAATTGATCTAAATCAGACTGTAGGGCGTTATAATTAGGTTCCACAATATTAAAAATTTTTAAATCGTCAGCATATAAGAGACAATGAGAATTTTTAAAACAGGACACTACATCATTAATAAATAACAAAAATAAAATAGGGCCAATATGTGAACCCTGGGGTACACCCGAAGACACTGTCACTTCCCGCGACACAGAACCATTCACTGTAACACGCTGCCGACGGTTAATAAGATAGGATTTAATCCACTTAAGGTAATTGCCTGTTATCCCAATTTCAGATAGTTTCTTTAAAAGTAACTGCTGACATACACTATCGAACGCCTTAGAGAGGTCGGTGTTAATTGTATCAACTTGGTAACCAGCTTCAACCGAAGAGGTAATAAACTCCTGATAAATAGCCAGATTAGTAGTAGTTGAACGGCCTCTGTAGAAGCCATGCTGCTCATCTATTATGTAATTCCTAAACGTATAAAATAATTCATCTGTTAAGATTGATTCCAACAGCTTAGGAATTGCTGATAGCATAGAAATGCCTCGATAATTTTTTATGTCTGATTTATCCCCGGACTTAAAAATTGGAACCAAGTTAGAATATTTCCATCTGGACGGGACATATCCTCTGTCGAATGATCTCTGGAAAATTGTGCACAGTGGTGCAGATAAAGCAGGGCACTTCTTGAGAAGGATAGGTGGTATTTCATCTGGACCAGAACCTTTGGAAGGATCGAGATCCAACATTTTCTTCTTTATTTCATCTTCTTTAAAGATGTGAAATGAGAGATGGGAACCATTTATATGATTATAGCACTGTATATTCTTCCAATCAATAGCTGCGAAGTAATTGTTAAGATCAAAGTAATTGGCATTATGGAAGTCGTAGTAGAATTTTGAATATTTCAGATGATTTAAATTTGATTCGCCTGTATTAAAAATTACTGAGTAACTTATATGGTGACTACTACTATCAAATAATGGATCAGTGGATAAAACTACTTCCAAATCAGTTAAATTTGTAAAAAATAAATCTAACAGTACATTTCTATTATTAGGTATACTATTTTTTTGAAATAGATTTATAAATGAAAAATGTTGAGCTAATAATAAAGAATGTGAACCTTGAGGACAGTTAACTAAAACACCAGAATCATCATTTGATCACATAAAGTGACGATTTGTAGTTGCTGGTTCTTGAATTGCACTTGTCTTGCTTTGCGTATTCCCTAAGGACCTATGAATGGAAACAGCTGACTCTTGAAGGCTTATGGAAAATATCTTGAAAATAACTTTGAATTTGTTGCATAAATTCTGTATTGAATTCTTTATTGAGCTTCTAACTTTGTACTTGGTTTACAGAAATGACAAATGCTTACTTTTAGCGTGAAGCACAGTACGACAAGATTGAGATGGCAAGTCGGAATTAAATGTGCACTGGAAAATCTAAAAATAGGAGAAGTCATCTCAGTTAATCTATTTGTGTTCACTTGTGTTAACTGAGATAACTCCTCCCATTTTTAGATTTGCCAGTGAGCATCTAATTTTGACGTGCCATCTCAATCTTATCATAATGTAGTGCCTTAACGCCATAAAGTCTGAAAAGGTTTTTTATGAAGTTGGTTTTTATACAAGCGTGAGCTTGCACAGTGACCTATTCATATTTACGGTTAAAACTATGCATGTTTTTGACAGACAGAATAACACTATGCATGTTCAAATAACATTTTAATTTTCTAGGTGAAACATTCACTGAAGGTGACGCCCAACGTCAGCAAGAGCACAATCAGCAAATCATCACTGAGAATTTGATGGCCTTTATTAATTTGCAATACCAATTTTCTATAGCTGGCTGTGAAAATTTCGGGTCCATGGCTATGTGTCCACTGTGTCAAACCGCACCAGGCGGAATTCATAGTTCTGAATGTAGTTTAGCTGCCCTACAACAATGCTTCAACAGGTATATTAAACTGCATTATTTTAATATGAAATCAATTTATATTCAATTTCGATTTAGAATGTATGCTCAAGAATCGTCATCTCAACGATCTAGTCCACATTTACCGACAGAACATCCCGCTGACAGTCCCAAAAGTCAAGAATTTCCAAGAAGCGACGTTCCTAGACAGCGTAGCCCGCTCGGTGAAACCAGAGAACATTCGCCGCACACCGAGGGCGTTATCAGAGGGCAGAGCCCTATACACGTTTTTGGAGAGACTAGTCGGGGTATCGGCCCTTTGGAAACGTTAAGAGGTAGGCTGAAAATATGTATTATTTTGGTCTACTTATGGAAAGCTTCGATTTTCCTCAAACGTTTTGATATATCACTTTTACATGGCTTAAGATAAAAAGTTATAAACATATGATATTGGGGAAATTATTTATTAATTATTAAAAAAAAACAACTTTTTTTTAATAATATACAGGAATTTGAAAGCAATTTAATTTTAATTCATATATAAGGGGGTTCAAGGTCGCTGCAGCAGATTAAGATGTTGGTTTTACAATAAAATTTATTTTTGAATCGTTTCAAATAGATAGTTTATTTACCCTGAAAGATCATTTACATGATATAGGAAATGTCACAATATATAATAATGTGATGTTTGTTTATTCTAATTTATATATATTTCGAATGTCTTTGAATCGTTCACTACTTAAATTCACAGTCCATATAATAACTGATTTTCGCTTGGTCCTCCACCAATATTTATATATAAATTGGTGATCTAGAATGCTCCTCCACCAAAATATCCAGAATGTACCAGAAACGTTATCACGATGACTCAGGAATGTTCGCGAAAGTGTCTTCGCCATAGTCGTCACATATGTTTGGTCTTAAGGGTATTAATTATGTATAATAATCGGACAAGTTGAGCCTCAAAGGCCAAATAAGACAGAGAGGGACTTGGAGAATTAGAGCATGACTGAATAATGAAATGGCTCACATTACAATAACAATAAATACAAGAAAATACAAATTAAAAGTAAAACTCCTAAAAATAAAAATATAAAATAGATAAATACAATTAGCTAAGAATACTTATGTTAAATTAAAATAAAAAGTATGAACAAAAAAAAGTGTAGTGGGACATTGAAGACATTAATTACACAAAAAATTTTTCAACATTATACAGACATTTTTCTATTAGGTAAAAATAATAAGCTATTAAAATAAGCTATTAGTCACTATGTTTTTAATTGAGAGAGGGAGATGATTGAATAGGTGTACACCGATGTACTGTAGATTTATTTCATATAAAGCTGAGGCATGTTTTGGAATACGCAATTGGTTTCCACTTCTAGTAGGATAATGGTGGGTGTCTAAGTTACAGGGAAATTGAGAAATTTTTTTTTTCATGTACATAAGAATTTTAATTATAAAAATTGAAGGAAAAGTAAGTAATTTATATTCTTTAAAGTTATTTCTACAAGTAGTTCTGGCATCTCAATTAAAAATAAGCTTGAATACTCTTTTTTGTGAAATAAAAACATGTGAAACCTCAACAGCTCCCCCAATAGTAGTACATTAAATGACAGTTGAGAATATACCAATATATAGTATACATTGAGAATCTGACTTGTAACCAAAATACTCTTTAATTGCAGGATGGCATAATAAGCGCTATTTATATTTTTTTACGTACAAAATCAATATGTGAATCTCAGCTCATATTGTTGTCAACAAAGATTCCAAGAAATTTAGTCTGATTTGACAAAGGAATAAAATCATCATTTACTTGTATGAGAAAGTCTGTAGTAATTCTGGTTCTAGAGAAAAATTGCATGCATACAGTTTTATTTGCATTCATAATGAAAAAATTCCTTTTACACCAGTTTGTGAATTCATTGGCAATGGTGTTGAGATCACTCTGTAGTTGTTCTGGCCAGTCAGCATCAGTTGCTGCTGTGCTATCATCAGCATAAATGGCAATATGTCTGGCAGAAAGATATGGTGGCATGTTATTTATGTATAAAAGGAAAATTAGTGGTTCAAGTACTGATCCCTGGGGGACTCGTCCAACGTATCTTATTTCAGATATATAATTTTTAATGGCGATTTTTCTGTAGTTTAGATAAGATGAAAGCCACTGAAGGAACATTCCTCTAAAGCCCAGAGCAGATACTTTATGAATAGGGACCGTGCGTCATGACTTTAACGCTAACTGGTGACAAAAATGTGAACTTTTTGGGGGGTATTTATTAATGTTTTATACGGCATTTATGGTTTAATAATTATTAATAAAATGAAGTCGAATTATTTTCGTAATATCAATATCGAAAAAACTTGTTGCATCCGTGGATGTACAAACACATCACTTTAGAAACCTGGATTTCATTCGATAGTAAAGAAATTTTATAAATTTCCACAGAGCACAATTATGCCTCACACCCAATGACATACATAATTACAAAGATTGCTTATCCATATGTAAATCAGACGACGAAAAGCGTATTTCACTGGGCAAAGTTTTCTTTTTATCTAGCTTGTATCAATTTTGAGCACTTAGTTGTAAAGAAATCATTTACAGAAAAATTAGAATCTTTAGTGTTTTCTTGTCATTAAGATTTTTACATATTTAAATGACCATTTTATATAAATATAATTTTACAGATAATGGTTTATTCTGTTGATTAAAACTAATGTAGAATGTTATGAAATAAGAATATCCAATTTGACAAAAATATCACGGCCCTCTTTACAATTTATTAACTATTTCTCATTTATTATTAAAATAAACAAATCATAAATAATACATTGCAATTACTGTCAAAAGAGATTGTAACAAATTTTAAAATATTAAAAATCCAGTGATTTTTTGTAAATTTTTTTAGTGACATTACCATTAAACATTATTCAGAATAATAGATAAGTGTCCAATTACAACTCTTACCAAAGTTGTTCATACCTCCTATCAAAATTGTTTACATTACCTTTTCAAAATTGTATTATATATTGCAATTATGTATTTTATGTAGAATTGTTTCTGAAATAGTAGTCTAAAATTATTTATATCCATCTGTTATAAAAATTGTTTAGATCTCTTAATATTATTTAACTACATGAAAACTCAACTTTCCAAATACATAATGACATGTCTTGAAGTAAAACTTTAATTATTATCTTTTTCTAAAGATTAAAATGCTGAAATTTTATTTTAACACATTTGGGCTAGAACGGCTCTATTTAGTGAGCACTAGGAAAGGCACATTGCAACCAGCTTTTCATAATTTTTTTATAGTTGGGTGAGCAATCTATAATATATGTATCATTGAACATCTCATAAACGCCAGTGGATGAATGACATTTCGATTAACATAAAGCTAAAAAGATTTATAATTATTATTATCAATCTTTTTTATTAATTTACATTTTTTAAATGTTATTGTAATACTTTTAAATTCAGTGTTACTAAATACCTATATTTTAACATTGGATACACTTGTTTAAGGTACAACTTTACAATTTATTGTCACTTAGCCATTTAAATCTTTTTGCTTAAAATGTATATGCATGTCCAGATTTTAATAATGTTTCACATTTTACGTCATTTTGACCATGTACACGATTGTTTGGTACGGGCCGGTATCTATTTTTAACTATATTTAATATTTTAAAAAATACCCTTCATTATTTACTTGCAATGTTTACCCCATTTAATTCTAAAATTAAACACTAGAGAGGGCTAAGTTCGGCAGTAGTGCTGCCTCTATATTTCACGCACGGTCCCTATAAAAATGTCAATGTCAATAGTATGACAAGTCAGATTTCGACTAAAATTGATATCTGAGAATTCTAGAAGTCAAAGATTACAGATCCTAAATAAGTTTTAAAAATTCAAAATGGCGCTCATTGGAATCGTATTTAATCAAAAAAGGTACCACTGGAATGGAAATAATAAAAATCGTCCTTTTGTTTTGTGTAACTGGACATTTTAAAAGTAGCCAATTATTATTGTTCAATAATGGTGATCGTGACGAAGAGTACCGAGTGGACGCGAAGTGAGAATTCAGGTGGAGGGATCAAGAGGAAGAGAGAAATGTGAAAAAGGGTTTTTGGTTTTGTTTGATAAGATGTTGGTAACGGGAAAAGAAGCACCCCAAGTTCTGAGTAACTCTTTAATGTTGTAATACAGTACATTAGACATCGTGGTAAGTTGTAACTCACTAGCGATAAAAAGGCGGGCAGGTTCGAGTGACAGTTGACATATCGTCTCGTGTTCCACGACCCTGACCTTGCTGTCATGCTGACAACTGACAGTACACTAGAGTGGCAAAAGCCAACATAACAGGTTTGGTGGTTTTAATTTTAAATTAACAAAATTTAAGTACTTAGGAGCTCCCTGCTGTTACAATTTCTATATCGAGGGAAGTTCTGGGTAAAATACTTTACCGATTTTTTAATGATGAAATGATAATTATTAAGTCTTGTATAGTTATTCCATTAAAGAAGAAATAATTCCTAGTTTGCATGGTAGTGTAGTTACTAAAATTGGTGTTTGGGAAGTGAGCTCTCACTGCTTCGCTTCCTGACGTTGAAAAATAGTCCACAAACTAATTGGCTATAGTCACTTCATCAGAAATTTCCCGATCCAAAAGCTTTATTGTATTAACTGCTGGTACGATTATTGTTAGAAAAGTAACAGTTCTCCAGATTATCTTCTGTTTATGGGGCATATTTAAATCCTGTAGATTAAACTGATAATGATGTTCCTTTGATCTATTGATTAAATTAACATAATCCCTTTTTTTGAATTTGTAATCAAAAAAGAGGTCATAATTATTCGTGTTTTTTACAAGCCAGTTCATCTCCCCTGTTAATAATATCTTTACTTATCCACTTTTTTGAAGGTACACTGCCATTACTACTCTTCTTCATAATGACATGTTATGTCAAAGTAATGGCAGATGGTTTTGATAAAGGTAGCAAATGCAGTATCGTAGATTTAAGATTCCACATATTTGAAGCAGACAAATTACGAAAACTTATCTGAGAATTATTATCGTCTTCAGTATCCTCTACATATGAAACATCCTTAAGCGTAAGGTACAGACGAAGATGGTCACCTAAATTTAAATCAACAACTTTTTCCTCATAGTACTTAGTAAAATTTTTAGTGAGAAAGTAGTCTATCTTTGACCTAGTCACATGACTGTTTTTGTTTGTACTTATTTGCTTAGGTTGAGTGTTTTGACAATTTAATTTGAAACTTTGCATTATATCACTAAGTAGACTTTTATTTCGTGAGTCAAACAAATAATTTATATTAAAATCCCCACATACCCTAACAACATCGAACATTATAACGCAACGGTTTAAAACATAAGAAAGATTATTTATAAAGAGTTCAATGTCTCCTGAAGGTGATCCATAGATATTTACAATCCAGTACTTTAAATTATTTAGGACAAAAGATATATCACAGCATTGAAAATTTACTTCATCAGATATATTGTTTAGGAATGTTAGTTTATCATATGTTTTGTTTATTCATATTCATTTATTGTATCTTTACAAGTTTACAATTATTATCATCTCTAATAATATTATAAAACTTACAGACTCTCGTGTAAATAATAAATCTTTTAAAAATTATGCTTACAATTTTAATATAATTTAAACAATTTAAAATCTAACATGTATTTAACGAGAAATTAGTCGTTAATAATGATTTTTAAAATTTCAGTAGGACATAATTTTGTTATAGGTTGTCTGTAAGTAAATGCTTTATTTGATTTGAACATCGACTATTCGGACATTACCATCCGGCTCGAAGAACCAACAGATGTTGGTTTTACAACCAAATTATCTTTTAAATTTTTTAGATTAATTTAAAAATATATATTTTTGTAGGTCCATTTCCTATCCCGGGTCCTCTACATACCATGAAATCGCCGTTTCCTGGACGGGGATCGCGATCGCCGTTACATTTTCCTTTGTTTCCTCTCAACTGTCAACGGAGATGGTCCGAGGCCGGTGTCGCTGAAGCTTCCGGAGATAGCGGAGACGAAACGAGACGAAGATGGTCTATGCCTTGGGATACGGCTTGGGGAGAGACCGTTGCTCAAGGCCAGCAAAGGTATTTGCCGTCGAAGCTCGCCGTACCTTCTGGGTATTCACAAGAAAAGAGTAGGAGTACCACGCCAGGTAAATATTATTCCCATGTTTTTGAGATACAGGCTTTGAGTTATATAAACACTAATGTTAATATTAAGTCATATGAATACTAATATTATCATGAAATGCAATAAAAATAAGTCACAAGTCACGTAGATAAAAATGAAAAGTTAAAAAAAAAATACCTTAGCCCCTGCCTCATCGAGGTTGATGTTTCGATTTTTAATGAAAATGCCAAAAAACATTGCAAGATTCAATTATATCTGCTCTCCAATGTGCTCAAAAGTAAATGCAGCAAAATCCAAATTGAAAATGAAGGGTTTAGGAGAAAAGAAAAGCAAAAAGGTATTAAATTTAGACGAAATTATGTTCAAATGCATTTTATTACTTAAAATTGTGTTATAAAAAAGGAAGCATTAGGCAGGAAAGACATTATTATTTGCATTTATAATTTTTATCAGATTAAGTTAGCTTTTCAAGTGCAAAGAAATATTTTCTTTGCATTCAGGAATTACAGTCTTTGATTGATTTTATCCCTCTTACAGCTGTGTCATTGACAACTGTCACAGATCGTCAATGCTTTTTCTAAAATTATTGTAGTCTGTGTTAGGGTTCCTTCCCTCGTATCGAGTAGAATTGTGGACTGTAGTAACTAAGTGATGAATCCTGTAGGATGTCTTATTGCGCAAAGAACTTTGTTTAATTACTTTTTTATCTTCCTAAACTTTGAATTCAATAACTGTTAAAGTAATAGACAAAATACGTAGATCAACTTTTAATAATGACAAAATATAAAAAATCTAGTAACAGTGACAATATATCTATCTATATCTTGTTTTTTTTTAATAAAATCAAAGGAACCACAGTTAAGTAAAGCTCGTTCTGCACCTTAACATCTTCTCTCTTTACAAACTTGTGAATTACTATAAGTCATTGTGACATTGATAGCCCCATCTGTTGACACAGAGCTGTTAGTCTTGGTTTGTAGAGGGCTTTCGTTTGCAAGTCAGCCAACTGAAATTCTGAAGCTATTTTATTAACTTATAGACTTCCATCGGTTACCAATTCACGAACAAAGAAGTGTCTTACTCTAATATGCTTAGTTCTATTATGGTATTCGTATGGAGGGTTGTGAGCTAATTTGATGGCAGACTCATTATCAATATATAATTTTGGTATCTCCAGTACATCGGTAATTTCCTTTATAATTCTTATTAGCCAAATAGTTTCACGAGCGGTTTCACTAGCTGCAACTATTTCTGCTTCTGTGGTGGAAATTGCAACAGAACTCTGTTTTTGACTCTTCCATGCAATTGCTCCTCCTGCATACATACATAACACTCCAGTAGTAGAACGTCCTGTTTGCATATCACCTCCGTGATCAGCATCGCTGTAACACTCCAAAATTTTATTTCCGCCTTTTTTATAGATAATTCACAAATTGACTGTTCCTTTTAGATATCGTAAAATACGTTTTACTTTGACAATATCTTCTCTGGTTGGATTGTCTAAATTTCTCGATGCTACTCCAACGGCATATGATATATCTGGCCTAGTGCCGACCATTAGATATGCTAGTGCACCAAAAACTTGTCTATATGGAAAATTTTCATTGGTTTCTTTATTGCAGAGACTCGTTGAATCTTTTAGAATTGGGGTTTTTACAGATTTGCAATTGGTCATATCAAATCTTTCTAAAACTTTTTTCGTATAGGCTGTCTGATTGATTTCAATGGATTCATCTTCTCTGAAATTCAATTCCAAACCTAAAAAATACGAAGCTGGCTTTGTTGTAATTTTGAACTTTTCTCTCAGCTCTTCAAGAAATAGTTGAGCATCAGTTTTGTCAGAAGAAGCAATCAGCCCATCATCTACATACAAAGCAAGTATGAGCTTCCTCTTATCTTTACTTCTTATATATAGACATGGATCAGCTTGGCTCTGTATAAAGCCGACACTCACCAGAAATTTATGAACACATTCATTCCAACACCTTGGGGCCTGTTTAAGTCCGTAAAGACTTTTCTTTAACTTGCAGACCTTCTCTGCCCCATCACTAAAACCCTCAGGTTGTCTCATAAATATTTCTTCACTAAGAGAACCATTTAAAAATGCTGTTGAGACATAAAATTGAGTAAAAACCATACTTTCATTGGCTGCTACACTTAACAGAGTTCTAATTGTGCTCATCTTAGCTACTGGACTAAAAGTTTTATCGTAGTCAACTCCCTTCTTCTGTGAGTAACCTTTAATTACCAGTCTAGCTTTGTAGCGTTCTATGGTACCATCTGGATTTGTCTTTACTTTATAGACCCACATACATGGAAGCGCTTTCCTATTTTTCGGTAAGTCTACTATCTCCCAAGTATTATTATCCTTTAGTGATATCATTTCACTCTGCATAGCTTCTAACCACTTATCTCTTTGATGACATGTAAGATGCTGATTTGTCCATCGATTACTATACAGGGTGGCCACTTTTTTAATGGGATTGTATTAGTAATTTCCAAACCATATCAGTTAGAAAGTCGGTCAAATGGAGAAAAAGTTGCCTATCTCGAAGCGTAATCTAGCGGTGGAAATTAATCGAAAATAGCAGGCCCGGTTCTTGAGATATTCCGATAAATGAAAATTCGATCTTTTCGGTGTTTTGGTTATCGTTCCTTTATTTTCAGAACTACTAAAAAATATTTTAAAGGTTTTTTATTTGATAGCAAATTTGCTTTGGTTTGACGTTTTCATATTTTGCATCCAACGTTTCGTATTCTCCGGACCACCCTCAACTTATTTTTTTTAAATATGGACCTGGATATTTTATAACATTATATGAAATAACTTTTCATCCTGCATCCAGCGGTGTATTACACAATGGCATACAATGCCGGTTTTTGGGTAATATGGACCGTAATCCAAATTTTATTGGTACGGATCTGTATTGAATTTATAATCAGTGTTAATTTTTCAAAGTGCATAATACTTCGAACATAAAGTGATTAATTAGGAAAAAATAAATGAGACTTAATAATTATTCAATTATTCGACTATTAAAAAATATGTTTTGATAAGATAAATAATTAAAAAATATTCCCGATTCCATTTTTGACAATACAAGTTTTTTATGTTCCTGCTTTGAATAAACTTCGAGATGTAATTATTTATTTAATTATATTTCGATCTAATTATCATCATTGATTATTTTATTACTGGTACACCAAATGATATGATTTTAAACTACTCGTAGTGTCATCTTACTTGTTATAAAATATAGTAGGCCGTAAAAACAATCTATATTACAAGACCTGTCACATTAGTATTAATATGTTGTTATTTATTGCGTTATGAAAATTTCTCATTGTTCAAAAGTTTTTTGTGCGTTTCTTGGTACCTACTCTAACTTCAATATGGTAAGATACACTGAAGAAGAAAAACGAGATATGTACGAATTGTACATTTAACTGGACAGAAATTCTTTTAGGGCAAAACAAAGGTACGAGGACTTATATCCCGACAAAATGCAACCAAATATAAAAAAAATTCGGTATTTGTCTACAACTCTTTTCATAACAACATAATACATTCGATAAACCTAGAGTTCCGTATGTTCGAAGAAAGAAGCCAGTCAACGATATTAATGTCTTAGCTCAAATTCGAATAAATCTAGGAGTTAGGTCGAGGATTATTGCAGGTGAATGTAAGTTATCAAAAGTTATTTCAAATAATGTTATAAAATATCCAGGTCCATATTTAAAAAAAAATAAGTTGAGGGTGGTCCGGAGAATACGAAACGTTGGATGCAAAATTTGAAAACGTCAAATCAAAGTAAATTTACTATCAAATGGTAGTTCTGAAAATAAATGAACGATAATAAAAAAACCGAAAAGATCGAATTTCCTTTTATCGAAATATCTCAAGAACAGGGCCTGCTATTTTCGATTAATTTCCACCGCTAGATTATGCTTTGAGATAGGCAACTTTTTCTCCATGTAACCGACTCTCTAACTAGTATGGTTTGAAAATTACTAATACAATCCCATTAAAAATGTGGCCACCCTGTATATAAATCGTTTATTTAGTAAAAAAAAACATGTCAATACATCTTCACATTTAAAATACAATAAAAATACATAAGTATACAGTACACGTACATGTCAACTATAAAAAAAATAAAAGAAAAAAAAAGCAAATGGTCAACTAGTACTCACGCATTTTTCTTTTAAATATTGCTGCGATTGAAGAGCATTTAATATCTTCAGGCAAATTTTAATTACCGAAACGTGTCTCAATGTACATATTCCAGACAGCTTAATCTCTACTCCTAATTACCAGATTTTTAGATATGATCGAATTGATAGACGAGGAGGGGGAGTATCTATATATGTATACATGTATTGTATACATATACATGTATTGTCTCTTAGATTGTTTTACAATCTCATCCATAGATATCTCAGTTCCTCGTATTAATTCTCTTTGTTTGCAGCTTCAACATCTCAATTGCCGTATTACTCTTACAGTTATTTACCGTCCGCCAGACACACCTGTTGTTACTGACGCGGCTCTTCTAGACAAACTCGATGTCCTAAGTAGTTCTGAAAATCTGATTATAGCAGGTGATTTCAATTTTCCAGACATTAAATGGCCAATAACTTCAATACCTGACACGCAGAATGTTACCAATCAGTTCATGGAATTTATCCACAATTCTAGTTTTGTTCAACTTATAACCGAACCGACGAGATTTAGAATAGATCAGGAACCTTATACTCTCGATCTACTACTTACCAAAGATGAACAATTCTTAACCCCACCGGTGTACCTCCCACCAGTTGGAATATCTGATCATGCAGTCATAACGTGTGTAGTCTTCCAAATCGGCTAAAACTACTAAATAAATGAAAAATTAAAAGATAAGCAAACTACGCATACCCGGTCACATGTGATAATGTTTCAATATACTCGCGGCTTAGCTTCAGTGGAGACGGTGTAGTCCACAAAAGTAATATGAATGTTCATGTAGGCGCCAGAAAAAT